GCAACTATTCCACTTTTTATTGACCAATGTCAAGTCAAAAAGAGAGCAGTATAAAGAAGTATATCATCAGTAGGTGTTAAATTTGTCTTCAAATTTTTTCAAAAACGCAGAGTGAAGCTGTTGGTGACAGAAACTATATAATCTGATATTAAGTCATCATCACAGAAGGTCAAAATTGTTTTAAAAAAACTTTTATAAATTACTTTATGCTTGTGGAGAAACAAGATTATATTCGCTCTATCTTATCGTATGCTAACATTTTTATACAGATACAAATTTCTTTAGCTTTCCGCATTCTCAACTATTTGTTACGGGCGAGGACTACAACGGGGTGCTAACAGCAATTATTTAGAGTCAGAATTTTGAGCTTGTATGCGACCTCATCTGTTCCAGTGAAAAATAACGAAAAAACCCTGCAACACAACCATGTTTCAAATAAATATTTAAAAATTAGTAAGGATGAATTTTGTTTATTTTACTTTTTGTCATTATTTAGTTTTTTTTTTCAAACTTTTTTTCTGAATTTGATGATAGCGTTTTTGTTTTTCTCAGTAATCACAGTCTTTTGCATAATCAGCACTTTTTCTTCTGCCATATAGTTGAAAAAAAAAAAGAAATATTTGAACCGGTTGCACTTAAATTTGGTGTGCTAAACGTTTACCCTTTTGCAGGACATTATTTTCAGTACCTAAAGTAGCTGACAAGCGATTACCTTATTCAGTGCATAAATATATAAATACGAAAAAAATATTTGCTTTTTGTTACAACGAAATGCTTCTTTATAGAACTCTAATTTTTCAAGCAATTTTTAATGGTACTTCTTTTAGCTTTATTCTTTTTTTTTTTTCAGTTTTATAATAAGCATTTTTTATATGATTATTATAAATTTGTTATCTTTATTTTTTATCATTGTTTTCGCCTTCTCTTCTTTTTTTCTTATAATTTTATAGTATAACACAACAAGAAGAAAGAAAACTGTTTTGAAAAAACTGTTATATAAATACAAAAAAATTTCAGGTTATTTTTGGTTGTGCTGTGCGCAGTACATCGATGACTGGAATGATTATGACAATTCTGAGGTAGTCTTAACTGGTGACTGGGCCAGTCGTACCGAGAACGTCGATGATGCAGATCAGAATCAGGTTTTATACATGTTAACTGTATTTTATACAAGCATTTATATCTGTTGGTTAATTGAAAAAAAAACTTATTTTCTGACTTATATTTAAGTTGCGTGTTCCTTTTTTTTTTTATTCTTAAGTTAATAAATGTTTTGAAATGTTTGTAGTTTTTGTTTGATAAAATATTTTTTTTTCAATTATGTTTAATGTAGTTTTTTTTGTTATCAAAAATCTTAAGAAACTTCTGCAAAAAACTGTAAAAATTTGTAAATTTTAAAAAGAATTTGGAAAGAAAAAATTTACTAAAACAGTTGAAGAGAAAGGCAGACTTTATTACCGTTTAAAAACTTGCAAATGCTATGCTTACCGTGCACAATTACTATGCTGCTAAACAGAGACAAAAAAAATTGAAATGTAAGAAAAAAACAGAAATATATAATTTTTTTGGTTTTGTACTATTTATTAATTCAGTTATCCTTTTTTTTTTTTTTT